GAGGTAATTAGCCTAGCTTAGCATAAAGACTAGAAGCAGGGGGAAACAGCTAGCCTGGGTCTGTGTACAGTTAAAAAAGCCAGCAACCAGAATAGTTTAGTTTAAAGGTGCACTGTGGAGTTTTCTTTAAAAAATCTACTTGCATTAAGTGTTTCTCAACAGATTGCATTGTGTGTATCCTTGAGGTCTAATAAACATGTTAAATGCATTTTCTTAATCATAAAATATTTGCAAATCAAATTGTTTTAACATTTCGAAACCTGCATTGTTCACAAAACTGTTTACTTGCTAGCAGTCTTCTTCCTCTCTGCCATTCGCTATGTGTCTTGGCTACATTACCACTGCATATAGATCAGAACAGTGCAAAATCATTGACCGGAATGTGGATTGCCTCACACACATGCTCATGCATCTGCATATGTGTGTTTGTGGGCAAAAACAAAAAAATATAATAGAATAATTAGAATATCCACTAGAATTTAATGTAACATTTTGTGGGGTTAAAATTACTTTTGGCTACACAGGATGAGTTTGCAATGGCTGACCCAATGGTGGATCAGTGAAGTTTTATTAAATATATACAATAAAATAAAATAATTAAATGGTGTTTAAGTTGCTACACAATGACTCTCTGGAGTGGAGGTTTGTTTTAGCTCCAGATGGATAAGCATCAGCGTATTCTTTGCAGGGAGTCAAACTGTTTGAGCTACCGTTGTAGTTGTTGTTATTGTTGTTGTTGTTTTAGCTCCGCTGCCTTGACAGTGATACATAGGGTGAAGGTTCAGAATCTGCTATAGTGCAGAGATGACAGGATTGTTTCAGAACTCCTTCTCTTTCTCTTTCTCTGTTTTCCATGGTTTCTACATCTCTCTCTCCCTCTCTCTCTCTCTCTCCCTCTCTCTCTCTCTCTCTCTTGCTTTGTCTCTCTGTGTCTTTCTCACTTTTTCCAAGCTGATTTGGAGCCTTGCATAGTCAATTATGTAGGGAGTGAGAGATGGAGTGGGGGCTCCAGCTTCCATATTTTGGTGTGATATTAATATTGCATGAGCGCAATTCTGTAGCGAATATCTAAGAGACTGCCTATTAAGGCAGCAGCAGGAGAAGAATGTGACAGACACACACACACTGTACATACATACATACACAGACAGTCAGAGAACAGGGGTGAATCAGTCAGGATCAGGCACAGGTTGTTATAATTAGTGTTTTCCAGATTTATTTTGGTGGGATAATAAGAGTGACTCATTTTTCTGTTTAATATGTCATGTTTGTTTATCTTGACATGGCTCACATCACACCGTACAGTGAGCGTGTTTGATGTTGGTGAGAACTGAGTGATGTTCCACTGTAATTGTGCTAAGAATGGAATATTTTAACAAACCAACTGAATAAACAAACAAAACAGAGACACAAAACAAATGCCTGCTTTAAGAAAAAAAAAAAAAAACCTTGCCAAGATAATTGTAATATTGCAAAGCAGGAGTGATCTGATGGCAGGCTATTTATTTTCTGCTGCTGGGTGGGTATCAATGATGCATACAGTAAGTGTCAACAGTGACAGGCTGAGATGGTCCCCAGCAATGACTGAGAGGCTCGGCATAGACACTTGATGCTTTTTGGGTGCTAAGCGGCGGTGACAACGGATGGTCTGTGATAGACATCTCATTTCATGCCACCACAGATTGTCCAAAGCATCTGATTTTAAGGTGTCATGAACATCACCCACATTAATGCAGTTGGAAAACATAATAACGCTTTTAATTTGTTTTCGTGGCTGTTTTGTAAACCTCAAATAATCTATGTAGTAGGTGACATGGCTCAAATCAGTAACAGAATATCAATGAGGATAGGATTTAATTTTGTTACACTGTATACCAAAATATGGAAAATGTATATAATAATAATTGTAGATTAATATGTTGAACTGTGCTTCACATTTATGCATTACATCAGACATATTTCTCAACATATCTGTAGGGTTGAAACTAACTATTCTTTTATTATTATTGATTAATCAGTTAAATGTTTTACTTTTTTGTATAAAGTCACATATTTTTTTTTATATTTTATTATAACATATTTAAATGCCCTGTTTCAGTCCAAAACCAAAATATATTCAGTTTACTATCATATAAAAACAGAGTACATAACACAAATATTGCTGTAGAAGAGTTGAACTGGGCCTAAACAAACTGGCCTTGCATACTGTTCAGTATGCCAACTGTCATTCCCCTTTAGATGTCAAATCATGTAAGCTACTGCAAATGTCCTGCACATCAAACGTA